AGCTGGTCCTTTCAAATTTAATTTGACCTTTTTCATTAATCAGCCGCCTGAATTCTTATCAGAGAGTGATAATCTGATTCAATCAGCAGGAATTTTGCGTTCCAAGACACAGAGTAATGGTGAGGAAATAAGCATGATAGGATAGGTTTGTAATAATGGCAACGGACAAAGAAAGGGCATTTTGAGATGTAAGGTGATTCCTATTCCATGATTCATTGCTTTGTGGCTCATTACTTCACCTAGTCTTCTATTCCACAATGTTTGGATGCCGAATTTTTTTCAAATTCGCCGCGACATTGCGGGCCGCAGCGGCACGCGCGGCAACCTAGGCACTGCCACGATTGAAACGCCACGCACCCTTTTGGAAGGGGTCATGGACAAATCCACTGCTCAAGACGAAATGCAGTTTTCAGTGTGAAATTTCCTTACTATATATAAAAGGCTGTGTTTGCCTGTTTGTGTGTGTCGCGAAATTCACACCACACGGACCAGCAGTCATAGTGTCCATTTTTAGATATGATGTCGAAGGTGGGACGGGAACATATTTGGCAGGAACAGAAGGTGGTAACAGATGATAAGATCCGATGAAGGGTGCGAGAGCGCAAGTGTCCAAGTGTAACGAAATCCATAGTGCAATGCTCAGCAGCGTTGAGGCGCTGTCCCTTAGAGATGATGTAGAGGGTGGGACGGAAGCTTGTATATGGGGGAGGGTAGAGGGCAGAGAGTGATACTGATAAGGGGTGATATGAGCGAGCAACTTGAGGATGGCGAGTAACTGAATTTGTTATTTAGATACGTGATGAAGAATCATTACATTCAAATCGCAGTGTCGCCGTCGAAATCGAAATTTTTTCGACCGCTGACCTCTCCATTCTTCACGAGTGGCGTGCCGCATCCCAAAACGGGATTTATCAACGGCAAATGGCTGAACAGTAAGCATGAAAGCAGTTGCGTTTAGTTATCCAAGAGCTCAGTAGCGCGGAAAATGCACAATTTCGAAATGATGGGTTTGTGAAGTATTGGCGAGCTAACGACATGATTGCTTTTACCAGATAGAATATATATATCCCTAAACTATCTATAAAACGGCTATGTCCTGTCTGTACATGTGTGGTGTGTGTGCGTTGTGTGGCGTGTGTCACGAAATTCATGCAGCAGCGTCGTATGGGCAGTCGCGTTAGGAGCTGATTTTTGATTATGATATAGTGGGTGGGCGGTAAACATATTTGGTGGGGGGTTACAAAGTGCTAACGACTGATAAAAGCAGATAAGAGGCGCGTGAAACACAAATTTGCACGAAATATGTAATGCGCCTTGAACAGCAGTCGTCAGGAGTTGATTTTGGGAATAGTATAGGGGTGGGCGGGGAATATATTTGGTGGGGGTTGCAAAGTGATAACGACTGATAACAGCAGATAAGAGGCGGCTGAAACACAAAGTTTCAAGACAATATATTTTGACTTCGCAGCAGCTCGTCAGGAGTTGATTTGGGACATCGGTATAGGGGAGTGGGACGTAACTATTTTGTGGTTTTCAAAAGTGAATAACGACGAGCTGAGGACAATAGTAATGATAATGGCGTACGAAACGTTAAGAGATTACTCGAAACAGATTGCGCAGATAGTGGCATTTGCATTCAATGATCATTGTCCATTAGGCGTTATAATTTGTAAAGCTCAACACGCTTTCGACCGCTGCACCTTCTCGAGTTCTTGAGATGAAAAATGAGATGCTCGAATAAATACGATAGTGAATACTGGGCATTCTATATTTGAGATATCAAACTTGTTGAACCGCTAAATTAGCCTCGATAACTCGAGTGCATTGGTGGTTGTTTACATACATCACTTTAGCTGTGGGCACTGTTCACTGCGCTTATAAAATCAGTGAGATATCAGGCCAAGATGAGGCAAGGCAGTAAATGGGGCATTAAGGAAGCAACTATTGGTTAGGCGGTGAGACCCAACGTTCACCGATTTAACTCAGTCCCTATTCAAAGGCTTCCGTTGTCGATGCGCGCGGTAGCGGGCGGGGAGCTAAAACTGGTATATATTAATATCCTAACTGGGCGGGAACACGAAACTTGTATATATAATATCCTATCTGGCGGAAGTGGTGCAGTGACAAGTGGCGGCGCATCACCGAGACACGCGAGCGGTCCCGGGATCAAATCCTGGTGTCGTGGAGTCGCCCGGGCCAACCAGCCTTCCATCCCTGCCGGGTCGGTTTAATTGGTCCAGACTTGTCTGGGAGATAAAAAAACTGGACTTGAAGCATCGGCTGGGGCCCCGCAAGTCCATTGTAATAGCCACATCTGCATTCAATGGCCACTGCGTAACTGTACAAATGGAAGTAGAATGCTGTGCCCGTATCCATCCCAAAACGGGATTGATCAACGGCAAATGGTTTATCCTTTATGCCTTTTAATATCCTGACTAAACTCTATATAAATTCGCTAAGTTATGTCATGTGTGTGGTGTGCGTCTTTGTTGTCACGTTGAAATTTGTAGCGCGCGTCACCAGCAATGATAGCGCCATAGTTTGCTTACACTGTGTTATAGGGTAGTTGGCTGGGCGACAAAGTGGCATGTTAATTGGGAACTGTAACGATGGTAATAGCTGATAAGCGGGGTCTAAAAGCGAGCATCGCCAGTTTGGTTTTGTCGTTCATAATTGGGTACTTAGAGTGTCTATCACTTACATGTGTTGTGTAGGGTGGTCCGGGACATTGGTGGTCAACATGAATGGAAACGATAGAAATTGATAACACAGATCTGATAAGATGCGTTTAACAGCAAAAGTCGCGAGCGAATTCGGTACCCCAGCTCGGCGTTCGTTTCCAGAGCATCCACTACTTTGAAAGTCGTTATGTGGGATGCCGGGGACATTGTTGCGGGTGATTGGAAGTGATAACAACTGATAAAGGCTGATAAGACGTGTCACAACGCTAAAGTCGTCGACTCCGTTACCTGGCTCGCAAAAACAACAGAGCAACCATACTTGCAGGTGCTGTAAGGGGTGGGAGGGGGACATTGTTGCTGGGTTATAGAAAGAGGTTACAACTGATAAAGGCTGATAAGGCGCGTCAAAACGCGAAAATCGTCGATTCCGTTACGTAGCTTGCGCTGACACTAGAACGTCCCTACTTACAAGTGCTATAAGGGTGGGACGGGAACATTGTTGCTGGGTGATGGAAAGTGGTTGCAACTGATAAATGCTGATAAGGCGTATTAGAAGCCAGCTTGCGTATTGCGCTGATACTTGAGCGCCCCTATTTACCAATGCTATTTGCAGTGGTACGTGCACATTGTATCATTGTATGACCAGCTCACTTAAAAGCAGTCAATTGCATGAACTCAATCAAGTCTTCAGCAGATGACAAGATTCATTTCTAATGCAATATCAAGAAAGCCCAGACTCATTGAACCGCCAATCCTTTCGGTGTTCTAAATAATGTTAAATGTAAGCAAATGATAAGCCTAGCTCCTCACATATGTAATAGACATATTTCATCTTCATTTTGAGACTGACAGCAATTCTATTCACCGCTAAATTATCTGAATTCAAGAAGAATGATGGATGTTCACAGTTGTGACATAAATATGCCAGTTCAGCTCGAGCGTATTCTCGACGGACTTCAGCGAAGCTGGGAAAGGTCTAACCCATTCAATAGTGAGGTGGTTGATGGCGTACCACATGCTGATATTCCTCCAGCTTCGCTGAAGCCTGCCGTGTGATGCGCGCGAGAGCGGGCGGAGCAAAACTGGTAGATATATAATATAGAAACCTTGCCTTAATCACATCAGTTGAAAGTAATGAAAGCATGCTGCCTATCAGAAAGGCTCGGTTGTGCTCAGTTCCACCAAAGCCTACTTTGGTGGAACTGAGTATGCGCGCGGTAGCGAGCGGAGCTAAACTGCATAAATATATTATCTTGAAAGTCGGAATTGCTAGGCGATTTTACGCCTATTGGAGAG